CCCCTGAGGGCAGCAGAAATGCCCATCTCTGCCGCTTCCAGCTCACAGGGCCCCTGTTCTGCTCTTCAAAGACCCTTAAGAGATGGATTGTAAACCACCATGCACTGGGGGAAAGGCTCTGACTAGACGATTCTAGCACACAGATATAAAATGGCCACTGAGCGTCTTTAAAAATCCTTATAATTTAAAAACATAATTTTCAACAAAATATAACTTTCTACCTATCAGATGGCAAACCTGATCACTGCTGCTGGTGTTGCTAACGCTGGCGGGAGCAGGTCCCAGACTCCCTTGTTGGTTACGTAACCGGCTGCACTGCTCTCAGGGGCTGTTTGACATTGTTTATAAAACGATACGCTTCCCACTGGCAGGCAGTGACCCTATGGGTATAGTTTTGCAAGTCTGCAAAGGCCTTTATGTATTTTAAACATTGGGAACAACTGGAATGTTCCATGAGAGGGAACGGGTTAAATCAACTCGAAAATGAGGCAGGTTTGCGTGGGCTAACGCCCAGACACGGTGCTCAGTTAAAGCGACTTCGTCGAGTACAGTATGGAGGGGACCCGTTCAGGGGATTCTTACAATTTATAACAGTTTCAAAAGTCATGGAGGAGTAGAGGGTCTGGGCCGTGACAGCCACGGAGTGGGCGGCCCCTTTTAAAGACCTGACAGGAAAGAGCAGGACAACTCCTGATGGGAGGAGCAGACCTCCGATCAGAGGCGAGTGACAGCGCTCCGAGGTTGAATTCCTCGTGAAAAATGGGACTAATAACGAGTTTACTTATTTATTTAATTCTCACCCAAGGATATTTTTCCATTGATTTTTAGGGAGAGTGAGAGAGAGAGAGAGAGACAGAGAGAAACATGGATGTGAGAGAAACACATCCATTGGTTGCCTCCTGCACGAGCCCTGACCAGGGCCCAGGCTGGGAAGGATCCTGCCACCAAGATACGTGCCCTTGACTGGAATCAAACCCGGGACCCTTTGGTCCGCAGGTCGACGCTCTATCCACTGAGCCAGACTGGCTAGGGCAACAATAATGATTTTAAAGGAGAGATGCGAGGGTCGGAGAAAATGTCGCAGGGTGAGTCAGGAGAATGAACCGGGCCCTCAGCACAGTGCCTGGCACATAGGAGGTGCTCAGCCGCCGGCCTTTGTCTGCCCTGCTCTGAAATTCCCTCCCTGCTGCAGCAGTGGCCGGAGGTCCCACTCCGTCTATTTTTGGCCGTGCACGTCCAGCTCATAAAAATACAGTCCTGCTCCTTGTCAGCACTTTTGCACTTTTATTTATCGTTCCTGCCAATCCCGGGGCTTGCCATGTGGGAACCTCTTCATTATTGATAATCCCGGGAAGTAGTATTTTAAATTTTTATGATCTGTACTTTGCGCCATCTGAACCGCCATGTATTATCTGGCCTGGCCAGCGGAGGGGGTCCATCCAGATGAGGGTCCTTCCGGGATGAATAATTTATCCTGTTTTCGCAATGCCATCCCTTCACGATGATGGTAAATGATGTTCTCCGTGCCCGCCGCCCACGGGACAAGGGGACTGATACAGAAATAGGAGAAGGAAACACATTTATTTCTTTGCCCAGATCCACAATGATATTTGGAAAATCTGGAGGTTCATTTTTTCCAAATATCTCTAAAACCACCCCTTTGAGTAATAAGGCGAGTAGAGAGAATTTTTCCTGCGCTCTCTTCACTTTTGCCCCATTTCTGTTATTATTCAAGGAGCTCGGGGCTCTGTTTTGCTCCATTTTTTTTCGACTGCTGAGAATAGAGCCTTTCTTCGCACATTGCGTTTCCTCTTGTGCAAGCTGAGTTCTCCAAGGTCCAATTAATAACGACTGGCTAGCATTTCAATGCTTTCCCTTCTTGGCACTAAAAAAAGTGGGTGTTACCGCATCTCTTCAACAGAAGGGGGTTTCTGGCTCCTCTCCCTGAGAACCGAGCAGGGAGTTGTGGGCCACGCCTCGCAGCCGGTGGGTTCCGGTACCTTTATTGGGCTGGACTTGCCTGCTTCCTCATCTCCCCAGTGTTCACTCCTCTCCCTGGATGCACATCTACAGCCCTTCCCTGCTCTGCACCCCTCAGCTCCTCACCGCCCTCCAGTTCAGCTCCAGGGCTTGGCCCGCCATCCTGAGCTCCGCCTGCCCGGGGCTCTGGCCACTTGGAACCACCTGCTTGTCGTTTCCCCGGCGCCAGCCTCCAGTCTCTGAGTGCGCGCTGCTGTGTGCTGCCCACTCGGCGTTGAAAGCTCATGTCCCTGGGTTTGGGGAGGCAGGAAGGGATGAGGAAGCTGGCAGGGCCAGCGTTCCTGGAGGGATGATGATGCTCTGGACAGGGTGACATTGGTGTGACTGCATAAATAGGTCGACTTGGGAGATGTCTCTGAGGAAGCAGGAGCTGGTGATGGAATGGATTTGGGATGAAGGGAAGGCAAGGGTCATGGGAGACTCCTGGATATGATTTGACATACGTGATGGTGTGGCTAATGCTGCTACTTCCTGAGCTGGGGATGACCTGGGGAAGAAAATGTCGAGGGGCATTGAGCCGATTCAAGGGCCGATGTCCGGTGGGTCATCTGAGTGCTGGATGAGGTCCCGTGGTGCTGTGCAGTGAGGGCTATGAGGGTGCAGGCAGACTTGGAAGAGATGGAGTGTGAGCACTAAGGGGAGAGAGGGAGAGACATCGATCGGCTGCCTCTTGCACGCCCCCGACTGTGGATTGAGCCTGCAACCCGGGGAATGTGCCCTGACTGGGAATTGAATCAGTGACCTCTTGGTTCATAGGTCAACACTCAGCCACTGAGCCACACCAGCTGGGCTGGGAGGAGCTTTTGATTGAAGATAGAAGTGGTGCTGGAGAAGCAACCACAAAATGTTTATTATGACAATTAGAACGATACTGCCTGTAGTGATTATTCATTGTCTCATTCCAATAGTAGTATATTTTTAGTTCTGTCTCCTGTTTCACCATGTTGGCTACAGCATAGGGCCTTTTAAGTTTAGATGGAACAATGAAAACTGTTTTGAGCTTGTTGAGAAGCTTTGGGACAGATGTTTATAAGAGAGGAAGAGGGAAGGACTAGGACACAGATGCTTGGTAGCATCTGCTGTGATGTGCCGGCACTTGGCCAGTCTGCTGGCTAAGGATCTAGGAAGGAAGGGATCAAGCCAAGCGATCACTGAGATGGACTTGGCAATGTGGGAAGCTGTATTCATTTTCTTTTTTATTTTTTAAAATATATTTTTATTGATTTCATAGAGGAAGGGAGAGGGGGAGAGAGATAGAAACATCAATGATGACAGGGAATCACTGATTGGCTGCCTCCTGCACGTCCCCCACTAGGGATCGAGCTCGCAACCCAGGCATGTGCTCTAGACCGGAATCGAACCTGGGACCCTTCAGTCCCCAGTATGACACTCTATCCACTGAGCCAAACCAGCTAGGGCCTATATTCATTTTCTATTGCTGTGTAACAAAATACCAAAAATTAAGTGGCCCGAAACAACACAAATGTATTATCTCAGAGTTTTTGTAGGTCAGAAGTCCGGGCACCGACGCTGGGTTCTCTGCTCAGGGTCTCTTGGGTCTGAAACCAAGATGTCAGGTGGGCTGCATTCTTACCTGGCACCCGGAGCCTCTCCAAGCCTGTTCAGGTTGTTGGCAGAATTCAGATACTTGTGGTTGCAGGACTGAAGTTCCCATTATCTTGAATGACCCATTGTTACCTGAGCTCACTTTCAACTTCTAGAGGCTGCTCTCAGGTACTAGCGCATGTCCCACTCACAACATGCCAGCTTCCTCCTTCAAGGCCAGTCTGCTATGGCAGCGTTGTGTATGTCATAACATCATTAGAGGAGTGACTATCACATACACAGGTCCCACCCACACTTTCGAGGGAAGATATTATACAGTACATGCACACTAGGTGGGGTGGGAACCTGGAGGCCCATCTTAGAATGCTGCCTACCATAAACTGCCCAGGCTTTGGCTCACAGGGCACCCTGACTGGTTAAAGAGGGGTTATGTTATGATTATTGTCCGGATTTCACAGGTGAGGCCCTGAGGCCCAGGCAGCTTTTGTGTTCCCTGTAGCGCTGTGGCGCTCGGCATAGTCACAGGTTATCTGTCAGGCTCCGTTCTCCCTCCACGCTGCCTGCACAGTGGGACAGAGTTCCCTCCGTACATGTCTAGGCAGGTTGCAAAATATTCAGACTTTAAGAAAATAACATAGATCTAATAGACTTTATGTTTTTGTTTGTGGAAGTCCCTAAATCAATTCAGAATTAATATATGTGCCAGGGTTTAGCTACAGGATGTTCATCATAGCTTGTTTGTATAACCCAAACTGTGGAAGCAATCTAAATGTTCAACGATAGAGATTCTGTGCATACACTGAATATTATGCTACATCAAAGGCAAAATACATATTTGTCTACGTGGAAAATGTTAGTATAGTGTTGTGTGATAAAAGCAGGTTATAATTCATAGAGTGCAAAGCCATCATAAAAAGGACCTATGTATTTGCCTAAATAGCAAGTATGCATAACACCTGCATCTATATGCATATAAAACATCTGGAAAGGTGTGACCCAAATCGTTGGCCATGGTGGTCTCTGTTGGAACGGGGAAGAGTGATGGGTAATTTGAATTTTCGGTTTCCTTGTGTGTGCGTGAGAGGGAGGCTCTCTGTTTGCTGCTCTTACGCACAGTGCCATGATCCTAGTGAAGAGAGGAAAGGGAAGGTGTGGTGTGTTTGCAGTCTCCATGCGTGTTAACTCCGCTTGCACATTCCAGGTGATTGTGAAGACAAGAACGGAGTATCAGCCCGAACAGAAGAACAAAGGGAAGTTCCGGGTGCCGAAGATCGCCGAGTTTACGGTCAGTGTCTTGATGGTGTGAGAGAGATAAAGGTAAGGCGGCTCCGGTGGTTCAGAGCCCGCTCGAGTGCAGCAGGTCCTACTGGAGACAGGAAACGACACAGGCTATTTCTGGACCATTTCTTGGGGCCACACTGTCTGGGTCACTGAGTCTAATCAAATAACAGAAGCGCTGCCTCTTGAGGGTGACTCATGCTCTCTTCTGCTCCGGAATGTTGGGCTAATTTGATAACTGATAAGTGTGTCTCCTTTCTCCTTTTCCTCCTGTCCCCATCTCCCTGCCTGCCCGGCGCAATCTCCAGGAAATGTATAAGGAAACTCGGGTTTTACTCAGTAGACGGTTGCAACAGAATCCAATAAAAACAAAGGGAAAGAAAAGCTGACTTTCCAGTGGAAAAAGCAGACGGTTGCCTTTCCGTTTCCTGGTGGAGGGGTCACGAGGAAAAGTGACCAACCTGTGTCACGGGGACGAGTTGCGTGGAGGAGCCGAGAAGCCTGCTCTGTGGAAGGAGCCCTGGGAAGTTTTCTGGACGTTAGTGGCGAGGAGAGCTCGGCTTGTGCAAAGGCCCTGAGGCTGGAGAGAGTCTGGCCCCAACACTGAATCAGGAAAGGGGCAGTGAGGCTGGGCTCTAGGAGGGGCACAGGGAGCAGGTAGAGATGAGGCAGGAGGAGTGGGCAGAGGGCTGACAGTCCCAGGTCTAGTTCACGTATGGAGAGTTTGGGTTTCATGCTAGAAACCTCTGAAAGATTTTAAACAAGAGTGAGACATGATTGAATTTGGGTTTTGACCAAAGCACTGGCTTTTATGTGGTTGATGGGCTTTAGAGGGCAAGAAGGACTGTGGGGAGACTATTAGGCTACTGCAATGGTCCAAGTAAAAATCAACAGTGGCTCAGACAAGGATGGTAAGTGGATAGAGAGACGTGGGAAGACCTAACGAGAATGAGGAGGCAAAGTCAGCCACGGAGGCAGCAGGACAGGTGGTCCTGGGGGTGGACGGTGGAGCGGTCTGGCTGGGTTTGAGCCCTGTGGCCGCAAGCAGGGCATAGCCTCCGTGACCAAATGGAGACAATAGGATTGCTGTGAGGATGACGCAGAGTACACGCAAAGCACTTGGCTCCGTGCATGGCAAGCGCACAGCTAACAGAAACTGTTTTGTGTCAACGGGGACTGGGGCCTTCGATAGGCAAACAGCGCTGGGCAGGTTGTCTGGGAACTGGCGGGTGAACATGGATAAACATACTGGCCTGTTTCTGGTCCTCTGTCCTTGTGCCAGATCCGTGTTCCTGCAGCCGGTGAGTGAGCTGGAAGGATAAGGAAAATCATTGCAAAATGATTTTGAGCGGGGCTCAGGTCCGGGTGGGCTGAGATGGAGGTGGGCCTGACAGGTGTGTTCCTGGTTGGAAGAGGAGAGACGGGGGCTCACCTGACTGGGGGAGGCCATCCACTGAAGTGGGAGGCTGGGGGAGACACATTGAGTGTGAGGCGCCTGGGGGGATAGAAGGGGGGTGGTGGTCAAACCGTCCTTGCATGTAACTGGTCTGGAGCTCAGATGGAGACCGGGTGGAGACCCTGGGCTGGAAGTCAGGTGTTCATTGTCTCAGAGAGCAGGACGCTGGTAACCTGGCGGGCCACCCTCCAGCATATTGCTCAGGCAGAGGTAACCATGGGACAGCAGAGACGCATCTGTCCCTTGTTTCAGTACCTGTGCAGAGGTGCAACAGCTATGACTGCACACCTCAAAACTGCCCCGGAGAGCAGCTCCCAGCACTTACGCCCGTGGGAGAGGATGCGAGGAGAGAGCAGGGCAGGGAGACACGGTGAGGAAGATCGGCTGCAAGAGTCGCCTGGTGTTGTCTTTTTTAAAACCCAGCAGGCTCTCGCAGTCATTGCAGAGGCTTGTTGAGGAGATGGGGGCCTGAGAAGAAGCCCCTCCTCCTTTCTTACTCCTGGGAGCTGGGGGCTTCGAAAGCTGATTTTGCAATGGGAGGGGCCGGGGCCGCTGGAGGGGCTGGTGCTTCAGGAATGCCTCCACCGCCAGGCAAACCCCTACTCATCCCTCAACACCCAAGTCAGGGGCTCCTGGCTTGTGTGGTATTGCCCGCTGCCCATGCGCAGTCTGTCCTTCCTCCTGGGGGTCCCGGCTCCTGCTCTATGACTCCATTCTAGCACCAGTCACCGTGGTGGCCCCATGGAGTGACCTGCCATGTCTCCCACTGACTTGAGCTGGGACGGTGTCTTCTTCATCTTTGTACCCGAGAGCCTCGCCAGTCCCTGTCCACCAGGCACCGAAAGCCCTGTTAATAACTGAGCACACGGGCATGAGCCAACAGAAAAGGCCCCGGGCTGACGGGGACCGCACGCTGACACACACAGAGCTGGCTGCCTGGACTCAGGATCTTTATTTAAAATCGGGGCCTAGCTTTGCTTCTTGCCCGCGACACATTTTTATCAACGTCTCTGCCTCATGCTGCTCATAGGGAGGCGAGACCCCATTTTTAGTTTGACCGTTTGCTTCTCCTAATTTTTCATCCAAGCGCCAGGGGCCGCCTTCTGTGGCTCAGGAGTCTAATATTTGCTGACAGCAGCAAATGGAGATAAGCTATTTTACTTTATTGTCTGCTGTCTTGGTTTTTTATTGCTCTCCTATTTTTTTCTTTTATTTTGAGGAGCATTTTAGGTAAGTTATTAAAAACAATGCCTGCTGGGTGAGGAGAGAGTGTTAC